CTAACAGTTTACATTTAAAACTATCCAGACTTTAAAACTGTAGTCAATAAGGTATTAGCAGTTGACTTTGAAGCTCAGCGAGTCGCAAAGGGTGGTAGTTTTTTTTCAGTCAAATTTTCTTGAGCGCCGCATATGAGGCATCCGCGGTGGCTGTCACTACAGCAATCCGGCGGTATGACTTGGTGTCGCACGTACCATCCCATTTTCCGCGTCGTGAAAAACCGTCTCGAGGACTGGTCGGTGTGATTCAAGGCGGTATCGGTGGTCAATTTATCGATCGTCCGTCCTGCTATTGCCTCGTCATTCTGTCAGGTAATTATCGTCTTGGTTTTTTGTGCCGGCGACTAACTCGAACATCCTTTTCGACGAGCGTCCATGTTCTGACTTTTTCTCACTGATTGTTGCTGCTAATTCGGTTGTTTATCGCAGCAATCGATGACTGATGGTCTACTCGATTCGATAAATACCATATCGTCGTTGTAGTTATATAAAGTCCGTGCGACCATCATCACCAAAATTGAAGGAGAAGTGCTAGACGTCCTCTCCCGCTTCGGCTAATCTTATATGCATTAGTATATGCGCTAAACGAACTTAACCGTTCAGCCGAAGCAAGTGGGGGCCCCCGTGGTTTGACTCTTGACGCTTCAGTGAGAACAAATTGACCAGGCCAATTGTTCGTGCTGGAAGCATTAAGAATCCATGAATCCGCGCCTGACAAATTCCATGTCTGCTGTGTCTTTCTTGGCAAATGTCGCTACCAGATCTCATCTGCCTTTCCAAGTATTCGCAAAAATCTCACACCACTGGATCCGGCGTTAAGTTGTGTCGTTTATTTTGCACAGAAACACTTCATCCAATATAGTACGTCATTCGAGCGTCAACACTTACCATCCATCTTGGCAATCTTTTGCGGTAAGAAACTCGTCCTAATTTATTCAGCCTTTCCACGTTTGCTTTCTGACCCAATGCAGCTTTTCGGCGAGCATAGTCGTTTGTAGAGTGACTATGCTCGGCGTTGTAGATCTTAATTGACTCCATCGTAGTAGTCTAACACATTTCGTGACCATTTCCCCTTGATTTAAAGAAGGTTTCTTGTTGTCGTCCCCTTGACAGTATTGACCATTTCGATTCACCATGTGCAGGTCTTTGAAATAAGATGACTCTATAACTTGGAAGAGTAACCCTTGTCTTTCACTTGCATTCGTGGTTTCGGGGACGTTAGCCGAACCTTGACCTTCGTTTAAAGTGACCTTAGACTCGCATCGTGATTATACGGGATCTTTCTAAATCCAGATCTCCGTTTCCTTGCAATATCCGAAGCATGGTATGACGAAGGCTTGGCTTTGGCTTCACGAATAACTCTTCTTTCAGCTTGGCCGTCCACCAGCGCAAGATGTTGATAGCTCGCTCAAAACTATTTTATTATAGTTACAGCCGTAAACATATACCCCATAGCCGCTACAGCATTAACTTAGTAGGCATATGGTGGTATTGGGTTCAGGTCGTCGAAGCTTAGATTCAGCGCAATGCTCAGGCTCTTTCACCTCAATCGCGATTATTGATCGATTCCGAATGATTCAATCTTGATAATTCTTCATCGATTCCTCGGTGAATCGGTGTCTGACTCGGATCGGTTTGCAGCATTTTGTAAATCTTGGCTGGTGGAAAGATCATTACGCGCAATACATGTATAATCGCCTTTGATCTTCTTTCATATCCTCCTTACTATCAGCCCATACGTAGACATCATACGCTTTGCTATATCGCGTGTGTTTGACTAACAAACACTCTTTCTCTTCTTTCATAGACGCCTCCCATCATTTTCTCATGTTTCGGCCTTTTATCCTCCGCTTAGTCATTAATCTCGAAATCATTGACCCAAATTGCTTGATTCACCTTCAATTTTGCATCGGTTTATTTAGCTCTCACTTGTTCAGACTGCGCTGTGTACTTATTTCAGCTGCCGCTTCAATTTCATTGCTCGCTTGTATAAATAGATATATACACCGCTCATGGTTGGCTCCCTGGCATACATTTTACGGATGCCAACCCTAGATTCCTCGGTTGCAGTACCAGCTCTTGAATTAAGTTAGTTAATTATGGATCTATACAGCCTCAGCGTACAAACACAACTATCGCAGTTTAAATAGGCGTACTCGGCAGGTACGTTGCTATAAAAAATAGCGTTTGCCCTTTCAAATTCTGTTGTTGCTTTCGTTTTACTTATTCTCTCGCAACCAATTTTCTCCATAGGACTGCCTGAGCTCAGCAGCTTCAAAACTCACACTCCTGTGACCTCACACCAAATTGTGGATGTATCCACAAAACGAATTCTTACAAGTTACCGGGCACAGTGCAATACCGACTAGAAGAGATACATTGCCCTCACCTAAGACCAACTAGTTCTTCAATCAGAAGATTATAATTACAGCGCCTTCTGCCGAAGCTCACCGACTTGTCGTCGACGAGGCTCTTTCTGTCGCTGGTAGCGAGTGCTAACAAATTCGATCCTTTCTAATTTTTTGGTGCGACCAGTCGAAATTGTTCAAGCTATGCATATGGGAAATCGACGTCAGGCATAATAACGCTCAGGAACTTACCGAAAAGTGTACGTGTGCTTGTCCTTAAACATAATGTTCACTGAGCTGTTTTGGTTTATCTCTTTTGCCTTCTCGTAAAGCCGTTTTGTGTGGTTTCCCTTCGTTTTACCATTCTCCCTTTACTAACACCTAATGAAATGTCATTTCGAATATTCTGTCACCCTCAGCTAGTTTTACGCGTCCATCAATCTCAGTCTGCCGAACGTTAGTTGCCCACTTGGCTCGCAACCAATTTTCGACGACTAGAGTTCTACGGCTTTCGTAGTTCGTCGGTCCGCTCTCTCGCTGACTGTAATTCCTATTAGATCCCTGATAAAAATCTCTCTGCACCACACTTTACATTATCCAAAGCATTACGACAGTGAGTCGTGCTAAGCTTATCAATACAAGAACGATTGCCTGTGATCAAAAACTTATTTTTGGTCATATGGTATATGATTAATAAATGCACTACAAAATTGCGACACGATGTACTTCCGATCACAAATAATCACGCAAAGACATAGTAGTCGTCGTTAAAAAAGAACCTTCTCATCGGCGCGACCGAAGAATGGGATCAGCAAGGTCTATTTATCAGCATAGGTGCGTCATGCCACAATCTAAACCCCTGGAAAAACCGTATCGTCCCCCTGAATTTAAAAAGCCCCCCCCCGCATCTTACGAACTTAACAACGCACAAAATCTCCCGCTTACCCTCGCATCGTCACAACCCAAGTTGCAACATCTAAATGACCATCACTCCACGAATTATAATGGTCGTTACTACTGCACCCTCTCTCGCCATTCCGCGCTTGCCGTCGCCTGCAGTCCCTCAATAAGTGTTTAAAAGTGCATGTCTCACTTGGTATCGACGAAATAGCATCGACCTACGCCAGGATAAAGGGATATCATAATGAGCTTCTGGATGTAGTAGAACTTATTTAGCTTGTGGTCTTGGTAGCTATCACTTTTAGACTAAAATAGCCAATAAATAGGCCTTGGCAGGGGCCGAATCGCGCCTGATTGGCCTCGACACCCTAGAAATACTTTGTTACCATTTTAAGTAGTTAAAATCTGTGGTTAGAATCTTTTAGTGGGGAGGTGGCGGGTCGAGCAATTGTAAAGCCGACATTTAAACCCGGTCAACCAACAAATAAAGATAACAACGTTTACGCTTAAACAAGGGAATGTGGCCATCATTCGAGATTGTGAGTTTCCCACGTCCACGGAGTCCAATATGGAGTGTGCCACCGATTTCTGCCGGGTACTGATCTGTAAGAGCGCAAAAAGCAACCGAGCGTCAAAGCAGGCGTCTTCGAGCCTGATTGCAATCCGAAATATCCAAACTATTGAATGTATTCAATGGCAGCGGCAATGACTACGGTGCCGATGTACAGACCCGCCGCGGAAACTACAAAGATTCCGACCTCAAGACATTGACCATAATAATCACCATTGTCGACGATGGCGCCGCCGACTTATAGGCAGTGCCCCCGTGATTATCCGATTGCAAACTACAGAGGCATTACTTCCTAAAAATTATGGTCGCGACTAAACTAGTAGTAACATCGCCACGCAAAATAAGAACCTTTTTTATACACAGTGTCTCAAAGGTTCTAGAACAACCAAAGGATGTGGATGGTAACACATCTAATGATTTATCACGGCATCAACGACAGCGAAAATGCGTCGTCTATAGCGTCACAAAGCGACCCCATCTGATAAATTTTACGCTTACGAACTACATGTCCATGCTATAGAAGGTCGCTAACGGAAATTACGATAAGATTTATTGTTTTATTTTAGTCGAAGTGTGGGAATGTATCGCGTGCGGCTGGCGGCAACGTTATAAAAAAATTCCCTGCTGACGAAGTGTGTAACGGGGCACCCTTTGTTTGGGGTGCCGCGAAACTTCACGTACACTAGAGCGTGCAGAGGAAGCTAATCTACTTGAACGACTCGGTCAAGTAACGGTAAAAAGAGAACTGTATTTAATATATTTAAGTTATCAATTTAACTTTAATCTTTATCGAGCTATACTAAACTACGTCGTCGTGTGACGACAACCTGCTCACCACTCATTGCGCGCGTCAAGGAGCGATTGGTGGCAATCTATGGTTGACATGTCTTATATCAACCAATCTTGGAGCAGCGCATAAATATTATCTAAAGGGGATAATACTCCTTCAATATTGTGTATCTTGGATAATATTGGTAGAATATTGTCATGCTAGACAATATTCCTATTGACACCGTTCGGTGTCAATTTCATGTAACGGGCTACCCCGTTATATGACCCCCCTTAACAATCAATCACCCGTTGATCAAATAGAAATGATTGGGACAGGGTGATCATTGTTGGATCCCCCTGGGAAAGGAAGCACTTGTTGGTCAAATCCCAATCATTTGCCAATCCAACGCATGGTTTCCAAAACCGTTTCCAAAACCACGCGAGCTGCTACTGCAGCAGCAAGAAGGGCGGCTGTACGCATGCGTAAAGCAGGAGAGAGAACTTCTCACACCTCAGCAGCAGGTAATTCGTCGCCTGTTGTCGTGAATCCTCCACGTGGTGAGTCACCGCGTGCGACAGGTACCTCTGTTGCGTCTGCAGCGGTACCTCGAATCGTAATCAAGACGAGTCTGAGATAGAGCTCATCTATTCCGGCGAACCAGACAAAGCATCCGACTCGAAGGCGACTCCTCACGCCTCGGGATCACACGGGGCGGACACTGAAAGATCCAGGTTGACTGGCTCTGGCAAACGCGGTGGTATTATTGCCGAGATCTTCGGATCGAGTGATTATTCCGATGAGTCTCCGCCTCACGCAAGTCCATCCAGCGATAGGACTCGTGGGGATGGTGGTGGTGCACCTGTACATCACCACGAGCGAAGTAATTCAAGGGATCGGGGTAACACTGGTGCCAGTGCTCATACTGGCACCAATCAAGAGGCCAGGGACCGAAATGTCCTGCGCCACGCTCTCCAAGTGAAGTCTCCATGGATGCCGCCATCCAGAGAGTTGGACCGATTGGCCGGCACGACTACCGAATGGCTACGAGTCCCGTTGTTCGATTGCAGGAAGATTTGCCCACCTGATTCCAGCACGGGAACTATCCGTGCTGAGGAAGAACATTTCACCGATGCGTTCTTCAAACATCGGTGGTACAATGGTAGCCGTGTTCGGGACGGCAAAGCCTTGGTGCAGGGATGGAATGCCCTCATCCATAACATCGAGTGCTTTGGCCGTGAGGCTTGGCTCACCAAACTTGATGCAGCTCGCATCAGGTATGAGAAACGCAACCCAGTCGGGGCGCGATACAAGTTGCACCGGCTTTCAAGAGAGGCAGGATTACCCTGTCTCTCGTGGGGTGATTCGTGTCCAGGTTTCCTGGACAGCTCGAAAATGTTCCCCTACGGAGGCCTTCCTCCCTAATGATCCCTACTGGAGGGCGCACATCTCTTCCGATATGGCCGAAGAGATTGACACCTTGCAATCCCTGTATTCGAGTTCGGGGAGGTCGTTTTCCGACGGCCCTTCCTAGAACTCAGCGGGTGGGTCTCGTCATACTGCTCGACGAGAACAAGGACATCAACAATCAGCTAGGCACGAGGCTCCCATCTGTCCTACGCCGGTGGATAGCCACGCCAGCGGACGAGGTAACTTGTCTGGATGCCCTTCACATTGCAGTGGTTCCAAATACGCTCCACCGAAAGCGTTGACCACCGCTTGAGTCCACCAAAGGATGTGGTGGTGGCGGGAACACCTGATATGGCTCGAGGGTCGGATCAGCTTGATGTTCAAGAGCTGAACCGTGTAACGGAACAGTTGCAAGATGACCTGGCTCACGAACGGACTCGGCGTTATGAGCTTGAGGATCTTGTAAGGGATGATTACAATTCCCTAACGCACGATCGTTCGGACGATCGTGCCGCGTTTGCGCTCGCACTACTTGAGAACGAACAATCGACTCATTCTCTTCGTGACGAGCTGGCTGTAGCTCGTCGAGACATCGCTCAACTGCGTGAGAAGGTCGCTTCGCTATTCGACCAGACTGGCTCGTTGAAACGGGACCACTCGAAGGTGGTCTCGGCCCTCGACCGCAAGGGTGTTCTTCGCATCTCGAAACGGTCTCGTACTGATAGTACGGGCGGAGACGACCAACGTAAAACGTAGGATGCGTACGCATCTTACGGGGCAGTTCAATCGTGTATGCGTCGCCCATTCGGCGCAACACACGAAATGGAACGACGTACCTGGGCAGTAATTTACTTCTGCCCAATTTTGTCACTGTATGTTTCGGTGTGTTTACTGTAGACAGTAAAACTAGGTCTCCTTCATCAAATGAATGAAAATTTGCTCTTCCACGTTTGTCTGTGTTTCGTTTCTGTCTGCCTAATTCAACTGCAATAGAGTCATGAACGAAGCAAACAACCGCTTCGCGAGTCAGCAGAAATTCATCTGCTGATTCATCCTTGTCAGCAGTAGTGCGCTTCGTGTACACTGCTGAAAGAAAGTTGTCTTCACCAGTGAGGGTGTCATCGTCCTCGCTTCGGCAGTCATTGGCGATGCTGAATATTCCAGCATCGTCGTCATCATCATCATCGATATCGATCGCATCGACATCGGCATCCATCACGTCGACACCATTGTCGACGGGTGATAAGCACGAGCCAGATTGGGTTTGGTTCGAGAGAGTCCACCCCCCCCTTAAACTAGAGTCACACTCTAAGAAGGCGGGCACACGTGGATGGCGTAGGCCATTCACGAAGAACGGTGTATGCGTCGTCGAAGCGTGCACCGAGTTGTTGATGACGAATTTCGCCATAGTCAAGAACTCGCTCCAACTCGTAAACGGGTGGACATGCCCTCGAAGTATCTCTTCGAGGACGCACTTGACGCGTTCCGTCCGACCATATGTTTCGGGATGGTCAGAAGTTGACATCGTCAAACGTGTTCCAAGTGAACGGAACACGGATTGGTAGAACTCCGCTGTGAATCGGGCGTCTCTATCTGACACAAGTCCACGGGGTAACCCGTGAGAAGATAGTATCGATGAAGACACGCGCACAGACCTGAGCTGTGAATGAATCCGTTACAGCAACAATATTTGCCATCTTGCTGAACCGATCAACAAACACAAGAATACTAGTATTCTTGTGAACGTCTTTGGGAAACCCAAAGACGAAGTCCATCGATACGGACTGCCGACACTCTGCCAGAATCGGAAGAGGCTGTAAGGGTGCGCGGAATGAAGGATTAGGCTTCACCTGTTGACAAACTTCGGAAGCGCGAATGTATTTGCGCACAAAATCATACTGGCGGGGCCAGTAAAGTCACGACTCGCCATGAGGTAAGTCTTTTATCTACAGCGTTGCCCGCTTGTTGGGGCATCGTGACACTCATACATGATGCGTAGTCGCAAATCATTATGATCCGGAACGACGACACGAGGTGTGTCGCCGTTGACTGCTGTATAGCAGTCCACCACGAGCAGAATACCGTTCGGTTGAAGAGCGGTATTGAGACGACAAGCTTTTCAATGCTTGACTGCGTTGATTGGATACGTAATCTATCAACCGCAATAGATACTAATCTTGTGCGTATGCTTTTCGCACGTCGTCGAGCAGATTCGACAACGGAACACTCACTGTTAGTGTCGCTACAGTGGGATAACCCCTACTATTGTGTTGAGCAGTAGGCTCGAAATCAGGCCGACGCAAAAGAGCATCAGCGACGACATTAAGTCGTCCTGGTTTATACACGACGGAGAAGTTGAACTCCGTGAAGAAAGACAACCACCTCGCCATTCGCTTCAAGAGGTGTGGACTGTTTACGGCCGTGCGTAACGATGTATGGTCGGTATAAACGATGAAGGGCCTATCTCCTAAGAGATATACCCGAAACTAAGTCAGTGCATATTACATGGCAAGGAGTTCCTTGTCATGCACCGGGTAATTTTGCTCGGCTGCTTGCAGCTGACGCGATTAATAAAAGACGACGCGCTCAACGCCGTCTGAGTCGTACCGCCTTAACGCGCAGCCGATTGCAAAATCGCTAGCGTCACAGACCACATGAAATGGTCTATCCTGGTCTGCAATCGTCAACACAGGCGATTGCACCAAGCTTTTCTTGATATCTTCAAAAAAGTGCTGACACTCAGCACTCCATGACCACCTCTCGTTGTATCTTTAGCAGACGAGAGAGATGTAAGGTCAACTCGTCAACTCATAGTTGCGCGAGTATTTTTGCAAGTACGCCTCCAAGCCAAGGAACTTTCGAAGTCCCTTGCCGTCGACTGGCACAGGCCGGTCGCTAATCGCCTTAATCTTTTCCGGATCAGGGCGTACACCGGTTTTACCGATGATGCAACCAAGAAGTGGTATTTCGTTTGCTGCAAATATACACTTCTTGAGGTTCGCGAACAACTTTTGCTCTAGTGTAAGTGTAAGAACCTTCCGGACGTGGATTCTATGAACCTCCACTTCCGTCTTTCCATCCATAGCCTGGCTATGGACGAAGACATCGTCGAAGTAACTCGTTGCAAAATCGCGCACCGATCGCAACAGATTTGTAATACATCTGTTAAACGTTGCGGGGGTGTTACTTATCCCCTGTGGCATCACTAGCCACTCCCAGAGCATACCACTGGGGGTGCTTACTGCTGTGTAAGGGATAAGTGGTTCTGGACATGTGGTCCAAGTCGATGTTTAATAGCGCGCGGTGCGGCCAGTAGATAGGAACCACTTCGGTGGTCATCCGTAAAAATTGGAACGATACAGAGAAGATTAGCATGGCCCCTGCGCAAGGATGACACGCATAAATCGAGAAGTATCGCACTTTTGTTGCATTCATGTACAAGCCCACTCGTTCCCTAACACGTGAAGCTGGTACATGACTATGTAGTCTGCTTGTTTCAGCGCTCGACCCGAAGTGCAAGTGTACCAGTGAAAGAGTAACGCATGAGGGAAGAGGGGATCGAACCCCCGACCGCTGGGTCTGGCATCCAGCGCTCTACCACTGAGCTATTCCCCCACTGCTATGCCTTCACAACGGATTCCTCGAATACAACAAGATAGTATCCATCCATCAAATGCATGGACGAAAAGATGGTACTCTTTGCCATACCATCTATGATGACATCCTTTCTTGGTATCGTCGTTTGATCCGGTACCGTTGCAGCGTTCAATTTGTTGAACGCGTGCACTATCTGCCACCATCCTGTGGGCTTTCGCACACAGAAGGTCAAAGAGCTTTGTGGGGATGTTAATTCTCTCCGGCAAAGAATTTGTCGATCGCTGTTACCTTTTCACGAGGCAGTGGCCACTGCTTCATGACACAGTATTTCGAACCAGGTTTCAGCTCGATCTCGTGCCGAGTGCCTTTGTCCTTAGGCAGCTCGCATGGCACGGATTCCGGGAAAACATCCCTGAATTCAACCAAATCCTTATACAAAGGATTTGTCTTCAAAGAATCCCAAGATTGAGACGTATATCACTCAATCCGAGTCTTTTCATCGAGGACACTCTCGTCCATAGATGAGCTACGGAACCCCCGTTCGTTCGTTCTCAGCCACTTCACTTGTGCCGACCGAAATTCGGCGACGTACTCGTCCTCTGTGACGAGTACGCAGATCTGCTTGATCTTGTCACTACGCAAACCTCGCAAGAATCTTTAGATTCTAGTGTTGGCAACTTGACTACCTCCGAAGCTGACTTCGGGGTCGTAACCAGATCAAGTGTATAAGCGCCTACACTTGATCCGTCATTCACCAAGACATTCACTGGCTTGGTGATTTCCTGAGAACACACATCCGCAGGCAGTTGGGGATCCACACCCTCAACATAACTCTCTCGGGAGTTATTGCTCTCAGGAACGCTGGAACTTTCTTTCGTCACGGGTACTATCACAGCCACGTCCTCTTCGATCGACTCTCTTTCAGTCGATCGGGCTTGCTCTACGATTGACTCTCTGATAGTCGCTCTCGTTTCAGCGTGTTGTTCATCATGAACAACACTGATCTCTCTTCTCGGATGCACCCTTCTTGGTGTGCATCCGTGTTCCCGTCCACTCGATCTCTTCGAGCGGTGAACCTTCGGCGCAGCCTGTGTGTCTACACAGGTGCTGGAAGCTGGTTCCACAGTGTAGTGGCTTTCTGCACTGTTATCTTGTGCAATCGTACTAACGACCGTACCACAAGTGATGCCATCGCACTCACTCGTAGTACATCCACACGCTTGTGTACGCTCCAACACGCTCATCAGATGGCCATTCGATGAACAAACGGCAGGCATCTTCACGGATCAATGCTGACAGCTAACCCATGGCTGGTATTTTCTAAGCCATGACAGACCGAGGATGACCTCAAAATGTTTTATGCAAATCCAGTACGATGAAGTCAAATCGTACAGCTTTCTTTCTAGCACGTAGTGGATTCCCACTACACGTTTGTTCACTGTTACGGATGCGCCTGTAGCAAGGCACACCGTCATCATCATTGGAGGGAACTCTCGCTCAATATAGTTTAGCCTACTATCCTCTAGCGACTGGCTACGAATAAATTTGTTCGACGCCCCACAGTCAACTAGGGCGCGAAGTGACATTCCACTTGTCACTTCGATCTTCAAAGTGATGAGAGACTCCTCATCACTAAGGCCAGTAACACACAGAGACTGCGTGTTGGGAGCAATCTTCGTCAAGATTCCTGCAAATTCTCTTGACGTTGCTGGATCAGCAGGGTGCTCCGCCCCTGCTGACCCTGTCCGTTTTTTGGCGGTCCGACTTGCTGTCGCGGCTTAGCGACATGGTCGGACCCGCGCCTTGGCCCATTCCTCGGACAACGGCGGTCATCACGTCCTGTCTTTGGACGTGTTGCAGTGCTTGGGACACTACACTAGTAAGCGTAGTGTCCAATCTTTTTACAGCGGTGGCATCTTGCCGTTCGCTTGTGACTCAGAGAGCGAGAGTTCTCGCTCTCGATGTAACAGAGGTCCATTGGTTCGGGACCTCCTGTTTCCTGTCGTCTCGTCGGACGATAGTTCGACGAGTTAGCCTGAGACTGTCTCAGGCTGAAGTCTTCTTGTTCCGCATCCGCTATCACCCTTTCCAGCGTATGGAAGTTTTCTCGGAACATGTAAGTCTTCACCGACCCATCCACAAGGCCGTAGATGAACACG